TAGTACTTGTATAATGAATTCCCCACAAGCTTCGACTTGAATAAATGTACTAATGAAACTCCACGAGCCTCCTTTAATTGTTGGATTATGGTATGTATTTATAAAACAAGATTTAGACAAAATCCTTGTTCAAATTGAATTCCATCAAAGTTCGAAAAGAAAAAAATGAAACAAATCTCTTTTCCCATTTAACTCATTTTCTCATGTGATTTTAGTATTTCATCTTCTAATATTTGTAATTAAGTTCTCTTCATTCTAAAATCATTTTATCAAATCTTTGTTCAAATTTAATTCCATCAAAGAGTTCGAAAAGAAAAATTAAACAAATCCATTTTCTCATTGAACTCATTTTCTCATGTGATCTTAGTATTTTATCTTCTAATATTTGTAATTAAGTTCTCTTCATTCTAAAATCATTATAGTTGATCCCACTAGTACTAGAGCACTAGTTTATGTGGCTCAACTTTATTGGTTTAATTAAATGAGTCATATGACTTTACATTTAAATAAATTTATCATATAATATCATGTAATATTTGCCACATAAATTGGTGCTTAGCACTAATGGGTATGAATAGCATTACTCAAAAAAAAAATCCTCTTAATTTAAAAATGCTCTCTATTCTGCATAATATTCTATTTATAGAGATTCTTTTGAAAATACTCTTAATTTAACCTTTAGACTTTTCGGAGCGATACTTAGCTCGTGTTTGACAACCATTGAAATTAATTTTTTAGGGAAAATGAATTTTGAAATAATGATTTTTAGGAGAATGTGTTGTTAAAAAATTGAAAAAAAAAATTGTGTTTACGTATAAAATATTTTATTGTAAAAATGTGGTTGAAAATGAGTTTGAGAAAAAAAAAAAAAGAGTTTCGTTTTAACGAAATAGGGGCTTAGTTTGTAAAATTATTATTAAAATTGTAATACAACAGCAATACTAGAGTTAGTTTCTTCCTAAAAATATCATTTGATAAGGAACATGGTGTAGTTTTGTTGAATTGCGAAGACCAGTNCTAATTCAAACATTTTATGAAAAATGTTATGCACGTGCATGCACGTATATTGCAAATGAAGGTGATTTTAACCTCTTACAATATCTCTGTCGTATGTATGTTTCAAAAAGAAAGGAAATTACATTTTGTAGCCCAATAGAGTTGAAGCACGTAAATAATTGACATACCTCAAAGATTGGAGTTGAAGATGATCCCCTTTTGTAGCCAAAATCACTGCAAAAAAGGATGATGGAAATCAGCAGCAAGATATGAAAATTTGAGGATGAATTCGTTGATATTTGGGGGGATTTTCTGAAAAATATCATACAGGAAGACAGAAAAATAGAGGCAGAGAAGATGAATTCGTTAACTTACACAGGAAGACAGAGAGATAGAGAGGCAGAGAAAAGTAGGGTAGATGGAAATTGAGGAAAAAAATAATTAGGGTAGAAAAAGCGGAATGTAATATTTTGGTAAAATATGGAGGGAAGGATTTTGGGCTTTTTAATTTGGTGGCCCTTTAAAAAAAATGCTATTATATTATATTTATATAAAATTCAATTTTAATTTATAGCATTATTAACAAGAATGCTATATTTAAATGTTATAAAATGTATAAATTGTTGTAGTGTAACAACTAAATAATATATTTAATGTAATACAAATAATGCGTACAGAATGTTACTATATATTTTGATAAAATTTTATTTTATGTTCTAGTTACCATTATTTAAAAGTTTTTAATTGATAGTTACATATGAATCCCCATGATACCTAAGTGTTAGATAAAAACGGAATATCAAATAATAGGATAATTATAATCTCACTACACAACATTATAATTGCAATAAACATTTACTCCCTCCATTTCAATTATATACGCTTATTTCGTTTTTCACACAGATTAAGAAAACTTATTTAATGTCATTAAAAAATTAATTTTTGTCGAGATCTTTCATAGTTTACCCTTATTTAAATTTCAATATGTAAAACTAATTGTTGAAACTAATAAAGAAATTGAAGAAGATGAAGAAATGAGAGTTGTTCCATGTTTTCAAGAAGTGGGAAATGCGTGTACTTGGATGATTTCAAGAAGTTGACATATTAAGTGAGGAAAATTTAATAAGGGTATATTGATAAATGAACATAACAAAATATTCTATATTAGGAAACAAGCTTATATATTTGGGACAAGAGAAAAAGGAAACGCAGCCTATATAATTGAGACGGATGGAGTATAATCTTTGTTCATTTTCACACTTAGGTACTCAATTATTTTCCGCTATATTCTTATCATTATATGAAACTAAATAAATTATTATAACATTATAATATATGTTGAAATTCTAAACCATCCACGCGTTGCATTAACAAATTAAAAATTTCAATATATAAAGAGAATGTACGATGAAGGAAAATGGAGAGAGTCTGTTGAGGTTAGGTTTTTAAATTTCCAACCAACGAAGAGCATGTGAAAGGGATTGAGAGATAATTATTTTTATAATTAGGAATTAATGTAAATAAATGAAAAGAGAGATGCATGGCTGCTTTACGTACCAAAGTACGTATACTATGTAATAGATATAATTTAGATCATTATAACTATAAAACCTAACTTTTCTCTTTTTAGAATTATTGTCAACGGAAGCAATTTGTTGTGGGCTAAATGTAAGAATCTTTGTCAATGAAAGTAATTTATTGTGGACTAGAACTTCTCAAAACTCAAAAATAGGCTTGGTGATACTTATGTATCTAAATGTATTCATGTTGGGTATTGGAGTTTTGGAGAAGTCGATTTATGTGAGACAAAATTCTACAGAAAAAGGGTTGTTTTGGTCTTTGATGAAATTTTTGATTATGTTAAAAAGATAATGTAGTTATTTTTTATTTTTTAATTCCTTTTGTAATGTCCATCTAAATGATGAACATAAGCTACTTATAAGTTGATGAGTGTTGTGAATCTTTTTTTAGCTTGCTTTACATTTCAATTTAATTTCTAATATAATGAATTTAATTGTATGAAATTTTTATTTTAATTATCACTAATTATTTTAATTGTATATATGCATCCGTTTAAGGCGTCTAAGCACGTGACAACTTGACAATATTACTATCTCATCATATTTAATCAAAATATGCATTTTTTTATTCATATTTTTGAATTTGTGGAGTCATATTTGGCTGAACATCTATATGCCGGATCTCTTTTAACCATTGCAATTTATCTTTGACTTGACTATTTATATTTTTAATATTTCCAATTTTATGGTTTTTATTATTTATTAAACTGTGATTTAATAATTACTTTTAGGAGAGATGAGGGGACATTAACATATGTGCAATTATATTGAACTTTGACAATTAAGATTTCGTTGAAACGTAAACAACGGCCATTTTGTATTGGTCTTAGACTAATTTTTATATTACATAAAATCATTTGAGAATTTTTAAAAATTTTTGAAATGTTAATTATAGTTAGCACATGTCGTTGCATCATATTTGTATCTGAACATAATTACATTCTTGATAAAGGCAAGTGTTGTATGATATGTTCTATATTTGCTACATGTTTTTTTTTTTTCAATATTGATAAATAAATTATTAAACTAAAATATCAATGACTTTTTTATTTTATATGCTAGAAACATCACAGAAGAATACTTCATCGTAAAAAACACTAACAAAAATGAAGTCTGATTCATCAATATATCAACAAAATGAGTCAAGTCGTCAGTTTAATTTGAAAAAAAATTCTTTTTTCGTTTTGTTAATTTTTAATGTATATTTTTGTTATCAAATCTTAAATTTGTTGGATTGATGTTACTAAACAAGATTGCGATTATATCTTTACTAGACAACTGAATGCATTTGAAGAAACGTGCAATGTAAAAGTATTCATACTTCGAAAATGTTGTGCTACGCCTCCTACTGATGAGGTTGAAGTCAAACCCACATGACTGAAGTCAAAGCTGATCGAAGCCCATAGAAGCCTGAAGTGAATCAATGAGACGAAGCCTGAAGTGCCTCCTTCAGACAAAGTCCTACTCTTCGAAGCCCTTCTTAAAGCATCAACCAGCTACAAGGAGCTTTGGATCAAAGGAAGAACCCAATGAAGATCTGCTGAAGACGATTGATGTGATGGGTGTTAAGATTAATCGTATAGAATATAACTGTAGGGCGGCTATTCTCAGAGCCTTTATGAGTACAATGCAGGTGGGTGATAGGGACAAATAGGCGAGTCGGATGATGTCACATGTACTTCATCTTATAGTCAGAGTTGTGTTTGTAACTCTATAAATAGTTTCTCATTGTAAGGCCTAATGCCATTACGATAAAAAGAGAAAAAGCCCAACAAGTTTTCTTAACTTCGTATTCAAATTCTTACTTGAGTTCTTAAAATAGTTTAGTTCAAATGTTTATACTCATCCACAAGTATTTCGTTCCTTGATAAAAGTGATGATTCTTGTGTATAACAATTGAAAGCCTGAGTTTGAACATTATTTGGTTCTCGACTCATTTAGCCATACCTTTTATCAACTTGGTCTTGGTTTACGAGGACACGAGTGAGACCGAACATCTATTGGTCTCATTTTTAGAGGTCAACAGCTTCCATTCTACAGCAAATAAGAATGGCTATGCTGAAATTTTAAAACTAATTTTATGTGATTGAAAGGTATTATATAATGTCAGAATTAGCCAATATTTTTTTTATAGAAGTTTCACTATTAGACCATTAGGTTATTTTTTAATAATATTTTCAGAAAGTAATTGCCAAGCTACGTTGTTTAATAATACAATTCGAAAAATTCTCTTTCATGCTTGAGAAATGAAAAAACCCACAACAAACAATAAACTTTAAATACCATTTCCGAAAGAACCTAGCACGAAAATAGATCAAGAAACAAGAAAGCACTCATCTTATGGTGCAAATCAATTGAAGCTATACATACAGTGTCGCCAACACACGAGAATGGTTGTCCATATCAAGTCCTAAATTCTAGTGACTACGGGTTTAAATTGCGGGAAACATAACATAATATTCCTTCAAACTTCCAAACAATAAATTGTCCGTCAACGAATGAAAGGCAAGATAACAGAATTATGTGGGCAAATGAAACTGCACAAATGAAAAACTGCTCTAAGAAAAGGACAGGTTCCTGCTCTTCCAAATGCACAATACAACCATTCAGACTACCTGCAATTATAAATGTCACACAAAGAGTGTTTTAGTCGATCGAGCAACTAAATATTTATAAACAGCACTGAGTATCAAACACGACAAGCTTTCTATGAACAAACAATGTCACATGGGAAGACATAATTTACACAATGACAGACAACCTGTACATTTAAGAAATTATCATTTTCAGTAAAAGAATAGACAAGGTACACCAAAATCACGCAAGAAGACATTCAATATTAAGTTACACAACCAGAAGATGTTTTCATTAAAATCAGACCACATACATTGGCTTTCTTCTGACCTTTTCCCTTGGTCCTTTTTCTTGCACTAGGCTATATTGCTACAAGGAGATAGGGAAAAAAGAAAGGATAAAAATAACCCTCCCTGGTGAAGGTTGGATTCTTGATTATCATTTTAGTACATTGAGAAAAACTGCTTACCTTTCCCTGTAGTGTCTACCTTAAAATCTCGTTAAATTGGAAAAATCAAAATTAGGCTATTTTTCTTGTGCACCGGACTAACCATGTGTCCTGCATGGCATTTCACACAATGGTCCTCACCTATCATTGTGATGTGTGAACACAGACATACTATCATGGTCTGGGTGCATAACACTTTATCCGCCACAGAATCACCCAACTCTACAGAGACTTGGCTTGTCTTAAAAGCATATATCATATATTTCAAATGGCAATTGAGCACTGAATAATCTTTTAGCATAATATACATGAATTTTCAGTGTACATTGAACAAAAATGGATCATCAACATTGAGCCTTGTTGAGTATCTCCTTGCTTCAATTGTCTAATTGACTCAACAGATTTCCCCATATTTTAAGACTACTCTCTCTCTCTCTCTCTCCACACTAAGTAAGCCAATTGCCATGAATAGCAATTTTCTGGATAAAGTGAGCTGACAGGAGTTAAATCATTCTTATCTCTGTTTTTCTGGAAACCTCGGTGTACATAAGCTCAGGGAATCTTGATTTCTTAGTCCAGTTACTATCCACACCATAGAATAGGCCATTTGAGAAAATTGTAATTTCACTTCTATTTTCATTCGAGGAGGAAAGCCACCATGCCTTATTCAGTGTAAACAAATATATTCTGCAGTAATTAATCTTATTTTACTGCACAGTGAAGCAGGAAGAGATTAAATTTGGCGGATCCCAGAAGCAAGAAGGTAACTGCATAACTAAAAAGTTCTCATCTTCTCTTGATAAACTCCCACTTAATCTGAGGAAGTGATTTTCTTGTGTTTCTCCAACCCACACTTCTTGCTTCTGCGATCAGTTCATTTTCGTGATCTTTAATTATTGAATGAAAATGATCAAAATCTATATCTTCCCATTCCACCATTTTGCCTTAGAAAACACAAACATAGAATGAGCAAACTCATGTTAGGAGGTGACAACTGATAACTTCTTGTAAGAAGTGTCTGTTACAACTTTAGGGAGAAAATTTTTCATGTTGAAATAAGCATTTATAATAAATAAATGACAGCGTACAGAAATATGTTGTCACACTACAATACGGAGACTGCATGACTGAAAATCAGTTCAATGGTTCAATGAGAAGGTAGAGATAGTAGTAACATTTTCCTCGGTTTGAAAGTTCTTAAGGAGAAAGAGAGAGGAAAGAAGTCCAAGAATAGGCGTGCTCCTTCCATGAGTCGAAAGTACAAGTGTTAACACAAAGCAGGAGGGAAAAAAAAAAACAGATCTTTACTTTTCTAGCTCTTTGTACGAGTGCTACCAATTTTATATGTCCTATCTGCTTCGAGATAAAAGCAGGTCAAGTTAATAACTTCATTTCCCCTCATTGTTAGCTTTCAAATAGAAAATATTTGAAAACATGCTCTTTTTTATTTCTTTTCTAGATTTTCAAACAAAAAGAACAGTAGTTAATTTCTTTTCTACTATTTAGGAACACATATAATGTCCTTGTGTTTTGTTTCACCTTTTCAACTTAAATCTCAAATGTAAACACAAAAGTAGCTGATGGAACGAAAGCCAAAGACAGATCAAGATATGAGTGAAATATTTATTGGAGCAGGGTATAATGCACCACCAGGCATCAACACAACCTTTTCATTCATGAGAAAGTTCAGCTGCACTAGCAAGTTTGGAAAGTGCAGCATCACACCTGTCCTTGATAACCACAAGCAACATGGCAGTCAAAAACGGCCAATAAGATGCAATCAAGGTTCCCCGCCCTCATAAGTATTCAGTACAGTTGATCAATCCTTTTGCGTGTAGTCATATATTTTCGATTTGCAACAAAATAGGAAGATATCAGAGTTCTCGTTCCCCTTAATTATCCAATTATGGTATTCGTATTTGTTACGCCTTGCTCCACAAAACCCCAAATATCCCACGTGACGAACAAAGGTAGGGGCCCACAATGCACCGGACTATATTATCACGAGATGTGTACTCCACAAGGTCCCAAATATCCTACGTGGCGAGCAAAGATAGGGCCCCACAATGCACCAAAATATATTATCACGAGGCTGACTTGAACGAACCAATGTACTTGTCGACCCTATCAAATCATACTGACCCCATGGGGAAGAGCCGGTCCGTGAGTAGAGGCGAGTCCACAAAAGGAGCTCGGCACAAGATCTCTCGAGCAATCTCTTCAGTATGTGATTGATGTGACGATTCCCTGTAGGCTGTAGCCGCCGCCATTGCCAACCTATCTGGTCAAATCCAAAGCCGCAAGGTAGGCATTATGGATACTAAATTGGTATTAGCATTCATGGCTTATGATTGATTGATATCTAAGATAAGAGGCATCAACCGCATGGATGAGGCCACATGTCTCTCCATCCAACGACCCTCATTTATCATTTTTCTATTATAAAAACTCACAATTAGTGCCATCTGAGAGGTAATGCAAGTTTAGACTTTAAAACTATAATTTTTCCATATCACCGTTCTATTTGTTATTCCACAAAGCCGACCCCTTTTTCATATTGGAGGCTTATGTCTAAAGATCTCCCACACTCATGTATTTTCTTCCATACTCATATATTTTCTTCCCCAATTGATTTGACTGTGGGAGTGAGCACGGCCAACTCCACCCGATCGAAAGAGGCCACGTGTGGCTAACGGTTTGTCAAACGTGAGAGGCGTTGGAATTTCTCACATTTTTTGGGGTCAACAGTTTTAATGACTTCCGAGCAATTTCACATAAGTTTTCAAGTTAAATTCAACACACAAATTCCAAATGGACAACTAATATGCACACAACTACAAGAAATTATCACATTATCCATATTATGAGTGACAATTGATTAACTAACACGGTGACATTTCCGAGAAAATGTAAAAATTGATAACAAAAGGGAAAAGGAAAGCATAAACTCACACGGCGGGTGAAATTGCTTCTCACTTGGCAACCATGCGGGCAATGAAGTCCTCGTACCGGATCTTGCCATCGGATCCAACCTCTACCTCCCGAATCCACTCATCAAACTCCGAAGGCTCCAATTTCTCCCCGATATTCGTCAAAATATGCCTGAGATCCGAAACAACAACATACCCAGTCCCATCCTTGTCCAGCACTTTGAACGCATCCCTTAGCTGGCGATCAAACGGCTCCGGCTTCAAATGCTTGGACATCAGGTCGAAAAATCTATTAAAATCAAACGGGGAATTCAGATTTTCCTCAGCAATTATGGATTTGAGCTGGGCCTGAGTCGGGTTTCCACCAAGTGAACGCATCAGAATTCCCAGCTCAGACGGGGCGATCTTGCCGTCGCCGTCTGTATCGAAGAGTGTGAAGGCTTCTTTCATTGAGGAAACCTGGTCATTGCTCATATCTTTCCCCATTTTTTCAGGCTTTTTTCTGATTTCTCTGTCTGGATTTCAATCTGTGAACGGGAATGTTTTCTGCGAATGCGTGGATTTTGTTGGAAGTGTAGGATTTTAATGCAAAATAAGTAAAGTTGAGGAGCCACCAATTGATAATAGACACGGAAAATTTCACAGTATCTATGCACAATTCGGAAATCAGATTTTAAGTTTAATTAATGCAAAAATATTAATTAATTAAATATAATAAAATCACAATTATATAATTAATGGTTACATGTGCATAATCATTTGTCGTAACTTATTTATTGATCACGTATTAAATAATTAATTGGTCACAGATTAATTCGAGATCATAAATTAAAAATTTTATAGATCATAAATAAAAAAAATTATAGATTATAATTTATCAATCAGTCATATATTTTCAAATTTGTTGGTCACAAATTAACGAATTTTAAGGTCACAGTTTATTTTATTGGCCACAGATAAAAAATTATAAGTCACAATTTATCAATCAATCACGTATTTTCAAATTTGTTGGTCACAAATTATCGAATTTTAAGATTACGGTTAAACAGTTGGTCACAGGTAACCAAATAGTGGGACACGTACGACCAGCACCTACACTATCGCCACTGCCTACACAGCACCACCACCACCAACAAAATCGCTGCAACCAGATCTAATCAACCGCTAACAAAAATCATGACAATCAACTCTATCAAATCTTCAGCCAC